CCTGGTTTGCACCCTCTCACAATCCACAGGCCAGGCCGAGGGACCCAACCAGTGCATAAATCTGTGCACCAGGCCTCTAGTTCATTATATAAACAAATAAATCTTTGTCCAACATCTAGTACATGGTACTGGTTGTTAAACTCTATTGTAGCCTTGTTTGCTCATCTGAATCCCTTTCTAGGGAAGATCTCATGGGAACAATATTCCCTAATTAGGTTCTTAGGTTCTGGCATAATTTTAATACATTTTTTAAAAATTGTGGTAAAATATACATAACATAATTTAACATTTTAACCATTTTAAAGCATTAGGTACATTTGCATTGTTGTGCAATCACCACCACCATCCATCTCCAGAACTTTGTCGTCTCCCTCAACTGAAACTGTACCCATTAAACACTAATTCCTTATTTCCCTCTCCTCTCAGACGGTGGTAACTACCACTCTACTTTTTGTATCTGTGAATTTGACTACTCTAGATACCTCATACAAGTAGAATCATATGACATTTGTCCTTTTGTGTATAGTTTATCATAATATCATCAAGGTTCATCCATGTTGTAAGCTTTATCAGAATTTCCTTCCTTTTTTAAGACGAATATTCCATTGTATGTATATACTACATTTTGCTTATCCAGTCATCCATGAATGGGCATATGAGTTGTTTTTCCACCTTTGGGCTATTGTGAATAATGCTTTCATTTCTTTTGGGTATATGCCCAGAGGTGGAACTGCTGGATCATATGGTAATTCTGTGCTTAACTTTTTTTTGTTTTTTAGGAACTGCTGTGTTATTTTCCACAGCAGCTGCACAATTTTACATTCCCACCAGCAATGTATAAGGGTTCCAATTTCTCCACATTCTCACCAACATTCTTTATCCATTGCTTTGCTTTGATAATAGCCATCTTAGTGGGTGTGAGGTGATACCTAATTATGGTTTTGATTTCTATTTCCCTAATGATTAATGATGTTGGGTATGTTTTCATGTGCTTATTTGCCATTTATTTATCTTGATTGGAGAAATACCCATTCAAGTCCGGCACCAATTTTTTATTGACTTTATTGAGGTGACATTGGTTAATAGAATTATATGTTTCAGGTGTCTAATTCTATAATAATACTAGTAGCCCTGTGCATGAATCTGTGCACCAGTAGGTCGCTGCCACCCTCCTGTAGCTCTCCGCCCACTGCCCCGCCCTCCTGTAGTTCCCCTCTCCCCCCTCATAGCTTGCTGCCTTGCCCCGTCCTGTAGCTCTCTGCAGCCTGCTTGCACCTTGCTGGCCCACCCTCCTGCTGATCCGAGATCTGGTCGTGAGGCACTTGGTCATTATGCCTCAGGGTGTAACAGCTAATTAGCATATTCTTCTCTTATTATATAGGATATCAACTGTGTATTGTATTGTGTGTTCACCATCCCAAGCCAAGTCTCCTTCTATCACCACTGTGCCCATTTTTTAATTGGGTTAGTTGTTTGTTTTGTTGAGTTCCAGGATTAACAGTTTGATTATGTTTATAATTGAAGTTTAGTTTGGCTGGATATAAAATATTTAGCTTGCATTTTTTTTGCATGTCTTAAATATGTTATGCTATTGTCTTCTGCATAAACTATTGCTATCAAAAAATTTGATGACAATCTCATGTTGTTTCATTTAGAAGTGACTTGGTGTTTTTGTTATTGTTTTGACTAGATGTCCAAAAGATTTTTTTTCTTATTGCCCAATAGGCATAATAAAATATGTCTTGATATTAGCCGTTCTGGGTTTACTTTTCAGATATATAGTGTGCCTTCTCAATATATAATTTTAATATGCACTCTTTTTATTGTAGGAGAGTTTTCTTGGATTGTACTTTTTGTATTTTGTTACATAGTATGATTTGCTTTTCTTTTTTTATGGACTCATATGTATGTGGAATCTTCTTTGGTTTTATTTATATATATATAAACTTTTCCTCAAATCCTCCACATTTTTGCTAGTGCTTGGTATAGTCAGCCTTTCTAGTTTTAGCCATTCTAATAGGTGAATAGTAGTATCTGATTGTGGTCTTAATTTGCATTTTCTTAATGACTAATGATGCTGTGCATTGCTTTGTATACTTGTCACCTGTATACCTTTTTTTGAAATATCTGATCAAATCTTTGTCCATCTTTTTAAGTTGGATCTTTTATTATTGAGTTTTGAGAGTTCTTTATATATTTCAGAGATGAGTCCTTTATCAGATGTATAATTTGCAAACATTTTCTCCCATGCCTTTTCATGAACTTAGCAATATCTTTTGAAGAAAATTTTTAAATTTTGGTGTTGTTTTATTAATTTGATTTTTTATGGATCATACTTTTTGTATTGCATTTAAGAAATCTTTGCCTAACCTGAGGTCACAGAAACTTTTTCCTATATTCTTTTTCTAGAATTCTTGTAGTCTTAGGATTTACATTTATGTTTATGATATATTTTAATTTTGTATAATGTTCAAGGTATGGATTAAAGTTTATTTTTTTAACATTTGAATAGTTCCATCACCATCTGTTGAAATGCTGCCTTCTTCAATAACCTGCCTTTACATTTTCGTTGAAAATTAACGCCAAGTATATGCCAGTTTAATTCTGGACTCTCCATTCTGTTCCATTGACATGCTTATCTATTTTTACACTAATACCATACTTTAATTATTGTAGCTTATAATAACTCTTGAAATCAAATAGTTTTAGTCCTACAACTTTGTTCTTTTTCAGAGTTGTTTTGGCTATTTTAGCTAGGTTCCTTGAATTTCGATATGAATTTTAGAATCAGTTGGTCAACTTCTGTTAAAAAAATTCTGGAATTTTTATTGGATTGCATTTAATCGATATAAAAATTCGACAACTCGACATCTTAACAAAATATAATCTTTCTCCATTGCTTTGAGAATAACTAATGGCAAGTTTCAGCTGAGAGAAAATAGTCCTTGACTGGGAAAGAAATTTACTGAAAGAATTTTAGAAACTGGCTAACAAGTAAGTGATTTTAGTGACCATCTCTCTGTTTATAAATCTTATCAATAAGAAAAGTAAAAGGGAATGATTTTGAAAAGACACCTTGGAACTACTGCTGCAGCAACTGCTGAAGCAAAGAACTGAACTGTGGGAATTTAAGTTCTTCACAACTCCTGGAAATCAAGCTTGTTTTTGTGAAGAACTTGATCAGAAACAAAAGTTTCCCTGAATGTTATGTTGTCTGGGCGCTCTTCAAGAGCACATGGACACAATTTACTCTAACAGGAGCCACGTTCTGGTTCAGATATAAAAGTTTTGCAGAAGAACTCAGCGGGGTATGTGTAAAAGGAAACATTTAAAAATTGTATTATAATTGCAACAGACTATAAAGATATAGATTTAGTCATTGTTTATCCTTTGGTCATTGTTGGAAGATTTTAAAAACTAAAAATTTTAATGAAAAAGTTCTGGAAATCTTGAGTGTGGCTTACCGTCCAACTTACCTTTATATCCAAGAAGGAAAATCATACATTTTAAATGATAGTAAGTTCAAGTCAACTTGGTATTTTAGAAGCAGCTCTGTCTGTAGCCAATGCTTGTGGTGGTGGCCCTACAACATATCCTCCGGGCCCACCTGGGGTTTCAGCCAGCGCTGTAGTAGAGTCCCACTCAATCTCAGACTCACCTTTTGGTGACAACAAACCCATCTCAAATAAGTGCCCCATTTCTCCACTTTGTGACAAAGTGTCCTTTCAAAGGCCATGGGAACCCCCAGGCCTATTAAGTATATCACATAAATGAAGAGGAGTAATGCCTTCAACCAATGGGTCCAAGGCTAGTGGACAGAGGGTCCAGCCTCTAGTCCTTCTGACAGACAATCCTGGGAAGCACTTGCTCATTTCCAAGGTGGTGCTATGGTCCTTGGACCAAGTCCCAAGGTCCCCAATGGTAATCTGGTAAGACACCTCTGTATGGGTTTCCCCACCCCCCTCTTACTCTCTCTGTTCTCTTACTTTTGCTTCCTGAGATCACCTCACAAATGACTTGCATACACTCAAGTCCTTTTTCAGGGTCTACTTTCAGGTGGCCTAAACTAAAATGAGCACCATTAATCAAATGTATTTATATATCTTTCCATGTAAGTGTAGGTGGTTCTTCATATCTGTAGATTCACCATTTGTGAATTCAACCAACAGTGGATGGAAAGTATTTTGTTAAAATGTTGCACTATTGCTGACATGTACTATGTAGTTAGGCTTATGATAGCTGCGTCTGTAGTGTACATGTGCAGACTTTTTTCCCCCTTGTCATTGTAATAACCATTTACATCGCATTTACATTGTATTAGGCATTTAAAGTAATCTAGAGAAGATTTAAAGTACACAAAAGGATGTGTATAGGTTATTTGCAAATATTTTGTCATTTTATATGATCCCGGCCCGCAGTGCGCATGTGTGGAATGTCTGAGGGACAGTGAACTGGCCCCCTGTTTAAAAAGTCTGAGGACCTCTGCTCTAAACAACACAGTGTAATAACCATTTACATCGCATTTACATTGTATTAGGCATTTAAAGTAATCTAGAGAAGATTTAAAGTACACAAAAGGATGTGTATAGGTTATTTGCAAATATTTTGTCATTTTATATGAGGGACTTGAGCATCCATAGATTTCGGTACCCATGGGGGTTCCTGGAACCAATTCCCCACATATACCAAAGGTCAACTGTATTTTACAGATTTTCTAGATTGTGTGCAAATAATTATTCTTGAAGAATTATTTGCAAGGTGAGGTGAGGACATTTTAAACCTGTGCAAATTAAATATATTTTTTTCTATTTAGGCAGTAAAAGAGCTGATGATAACGATGCTTGCTCACTATGAACCACATTGAAACTACCTTTAATTCAATTTCTATCTGATAAAAAATATAATACGAATATCTAACTTTGATGGTATATGAACTAATGGCCAAGTGGTGAAAAACTCTATAAGATAATAAATACTACCAATAAGTTCCGTATCCATACTATATGATATATAAGCTTTAATTTGTCACATAAAACTTCAATATTACTTTCTGCCAGAAATTTAGCAACTCTTCTGATACAAATGCACATAATACTTTCATGCTAAAAGTCATAAAAACTGAATAATTCACTCAGCCAAATTCACTTTTTTTTTGCATTGAGTCTATTTTTATCACTAATCTTACATTGATTTTATGTTAAATGTTCATTACATCTCTGCAATATTCCATCTTAGTATTGGTAGCACTAATTTAACTTTTTTAGGTTATTTTATTTTCCAGTTCAGGGCCCTTAATTGGTAACAACATATGCTGCCAGGTTATAAATGCTTTATTATTATTACAATTTTAGCACTGAGGAAGCTTGGTGGTGAATATCTGGCCACTTGATGTTGTTTTGAAAAAGAGGTCAAGTTCAGACTCTCTTTCTGATAGAATGTAAAGTACTTCTACACGTGTTATCTGTAATTATTATGAAAGTTAATCTTAGTCACTAAAAGAGGATTCACTATCTGAACTTTCTTCTGCATTTTTTTCACCTTCGCCATCAGGCACTGGAGCATCTGGCCTCCTGAAAGAGAAGGGGAACGTTTTTAAAGTTTTTTCCAGTTGAAAGAAGCACTTACTCATTGTAAATTAGGTTCATCCTAGAATATTGCTGCTAATAAATCTGCCAAGTCTGCGTCCTTAACTGAGAGAGACTCCCACTCGCCACCGCAGCGCGCTCTCCCTGGCGTCTCCGGCATTGTGGGGATTAAGTGCCTTTCCTGTGTGGGCCGTGGCACTGTCTTCTCTTGCCAGTGCTTACAGAGTGTGCTGCTTCAGCACTTTCTGCTCCTCATTGCCATGGAGATCAGCTATAGACAGAGATGCGATCAGGGGAGGCTGGCAGGACCACTGCCACAGCCAGGCAGCCTCCAAGTGCCTGAGGTACAGAGAAAGAAAAGCCAGCAGTGGAAAGAAAGGGAAAATCCTCATGTTCAGGAAAGCTGCAGGGAGAAATTTTTTAAGTGGAAGAGAGTTCACGAGTGGCTACTGAGAAACACAGGCAATAGAAAATCTGTGGGGGCAAAGGTTCTTCATTGTATTGAATGTTTTCACTTATGTGCAACATGGACATATGAGAAGTGTTAAACTCCAATTCTGCAAGGCTGTGCTATAATAAAACAAAATAAAATTTAATACTGTCATTAAAACCGTCAACTAGATAGGCTCCACCATGCTTGTCAGTAAACCATTCAGTTCACCTGGGAGCACTATCACTCAGCCTGTGTCCCCGCTACCAAGAAAGAGAATTAAGCGAGCAAAGTATACTTTGGGGGAAACTAAAAGAGAAAGGAGGAATAATACAGCTGCTCTGTCCTAATAATTAAAATCTACCACTTATGTCACCCTCAGCCCCTTGATTCTTATTAAAGATTGGGAACACCAACAAATGCAACTCTTCTTTGTCAGACATATAACTATTATGCATAGTTTATTATTTACTCTTATTAAAAATTATGGCTGAGTTTTGGCTTATATTTTTAATATCATACCTGGCATACTACAAAACAGAACAAATACTGGCACTGCTTTCTAGTCGTCACATATAAACCCATTCAATTTTAGATTATGCCTAGGAGGAAATCATATGCACTCAATACAGCACAACTTTAAAGCTGGCCACAGCATTTCTAGGTTTTGACTGATGCTCTGTCTGCCTAAAATACTAACATGGGACCACAGTCTTCATCACTACCCATGGAAGCAAGAACTCTAGAAGCAGTGGGCATGAATACCAGGCACATTTTCCCAGTAAGTTTCTCTTTGCTATATAGTTCATTTCTTATTGTCTTCACTTTGTTTAAAAAGGAAAATTTGCCAGAGGGAATTATCTGACTATTACATCAAATTACATTAGTATCTATGGCAACTCAAACAAATAAAACAATGTACACAACTCCCCTAAAATAAATGCTACTTAAGAAAAGGGTAAAAGTAGCTTAGGCCTAGAAGAGAGTGAAACAATAAAATTAACTGATTTATGTGTGTAACCACTTTTTGATGTATATAATGCTGTATGGCATAGTGGTTAAGAACAAAGACTATGAAGTCAGATTGACTGAGTTCAAATCCCAGCCTTGCTACTTATTTGTTAGGCAACTTTAGGGAAGCTATTCAACCACTCTGTACCCAACTGACTGGATTGTTGTGTTGATTAAAATAAATCACTAAGTGTAAAGTATATTGAATAATATCTGGCATATAGTAAGTATATTAAATGTTATTTTCTATTATTTTTATTGTAGAATTATTATTATTCTCATCATTATCATGTGCCTACTATTTGCCAGGAACTGTGGTAGGTGCCAGAGATACGGAGATGAAAACCAAACAGTTCCTGCCCTGCACAAGCTGATATTTTAGGGGGGAGATAGAAATGCAATCAATTATTGTTATATAGTGTGATATACACAAACATAGTTGTACGAGCTACACGTGTGAAAAGAAAAGTAATTCACTCTACTAGGGTTGGTTAGAGAAAACTCCAGAGATGAAGATACTTGTGCAGGGTCTTGGGATGTGAGTAGGAGTTTGTCAGAAACAAAAAATGTGGGAATAGGTGGGGATGAGAATCTGAGTAAAGAGAAAAAATGGGAATGGTACGATGCTACATTAGGAAGCTGGAAGCCATTCAGTAGCTAGAGGGTAAGGTATATTGCGGTGCAAATGTAGATGACATCAGATAATTTGGCAGGAGTAATAAGTGAAGGATAGGGAAAAGTTATATAAAATAAGTTTTCACTGCAATTGCACCAGTTTGGGATTCTTATGTAGTCATTTACTTCATATTCACGTTGTTATATAATAATCACCACCATCTCCAGAGCTCTCTTCATCTTGCAAAACTGAAACTCTATACCCATCAAGTAATAACTCCCCTACACGCTTTCCCTCCAGGCTTTGGCAACTACTATTCTACCTTATGTCTTTCAATTTGACTATTCTAAGTGGAATCATATAGTGTTTGTCATTTTGTGACTGGCTTATTTCATTTATCATAACAAAGGTTCATCCATGTTATAGCATGTATCAGAATTTCCTTCCTTTCTAAGGCTGAATAATACTCCATTGTGTGCACATAGTAGATTTTGTTTGACCATTCATCTGTGGATGGGCATTTGGGTTGTTTCCACCTTTGGGCTACTGTGAATAATGCTACTATGAACATGGGTATACAAATACAGGGTGGGGCAAAAGTAGGTTTATAGTTGTTCATATGGCAAATAATACAATGATCAATAAATAATAATAAAAGAATAAACTCTGTTTTATGTACTCACAATTGTAAACATACTTTTGCCCCACCCTGTATATGTTTGAGTTCTGGCTTTCACTTTTAGGTATATGCTCAGAAGTGGAACTGCCAGATTACATAGTAATTCTAGGGTTATTTTTTTTGAGGCACTGCCAGACTGTTTTCCATAGTGGCTATATCATTTATACATAGTACATAAGTGTTCCAATTTCTTCATATCCTTGCCAAAACTTGTATTGTTTGTCTTCATTCATTTTTAAAAATTGAGATATAATTGATATATAACATAAAATTAGTTTTAGGTATATAATACATTTTGTTATTTGTATATAGTGTGAAACCATCACACATTAATTCTAGTTGACATCCACCCCATATATAACTTCAAAAATTTTTTTCTTGTTATGAGAACTTTAAAGATCTATTCTCGCCCGGCTGGTGGGTCTCAGCTGGTTGAGCTTTCATATATCTTTTTATTTCAGTGGCATTGGAAACTAACAGGACTGACTCTTGGTTAATTATAACTATTGTTATTTTTGAAAACTTGGATTTTTAAAAATAATCACTTAGAAGTAGCAAACAAATACCATTTATTTGGTAATTATCAGGCATTTACTTCAGTTTCATAGACTTTCTAAAATTTGGTGATAGACATTTTTTCTAGGAAAATAGGCAGGCTCTCTTCTCCTTTAGCATGTTAAACTGCTTTAGTTTAAAATTATGTACTCTTTGCTACTGAAATTTTATACATAATCAAATAACAATTTATTTTCTGATCAGTATTTATTTCTGCTTTGCTCTTTGCTCAGTACAGACTATCTTGACTATTTTTTCTAAGTTATATGAATCTGTCTTACTATCTGAGGCTAATAAAAAAGTGTAGTTAATACTTTAAAAGAAAAAAGAAACAGAACAATCTTTCACTGAGAGTTCTTGGCTGAGGCTTAATATGTACCTAAGATTCTAAATAAAAGTACACTCTTCACTTGGGTGGCACATTTTCTTCTCCCTCATCAGCCAAGAGCTTTCTTCCAGCGTGAGGCTCCTTAACTTTTAGGTAAACATGATCCTCCAAGCGCCAAAATTCCTCTTTAACAAGGCAGTTGATTCCACTTCTCATATCTGGCTAAGTGTCGTTGAAGCTGGTCTAGTAATGGTGGTGACAGGTTATAGTGAGTCACCCCCACTCCAACCAGTGCCCCTTGTGACCAATGGCCTGGACTTATGAGGTAATGGGTCAGAATTCCAGCTCCAGGCTGTGGTTGAGGAGCAGCTTTCGTGTAAGACGATGTTTTAACTGTTACTGGAATTCTACCCTAAAACTTGGCACCACCTTGTAACCAAATGTTTCTTAACATTTAAAGACAATGACATACCCACAAACTTGCTAAGTGAGATATACCAAGGAAGGATTGGGGGCACCGGGAGTTCTCCCCTCAGTAGTCATCCATGAACTTCTTAGGGTAGTGACACCTAAATGGAGTCTTGGAGAATATGAACTTAGCCAGGCCAATAAGATGGGGGAAGGAAGTTCCATGGAGAAGAAAGAAAACATTAAAAGACATCAAAAGGGAATAGGAAAATGATACAATCAGAGAAGAGCCAGTAGTGTGCTACAGCTACACAATAGAGGTGATATGGAACAGTGGCAAGAAATGAAGCTTGAGTGAGAATCTGGGTCTTGATGACAAAAGCATTTATATGTAATTCTAGTGTTAGACTACATGCTGAAGGTAATGGAGAGTCACATAAAGATTTGAAGCAAGAATGAAGTATTAACGGAAACACTCAAGCTTTAGTGACAGATGAAAAGAGAATTGGGAAACCAATCAGGAGCTACTATAATAATTCAGGTGAGAAATGATGAGAGTTTGAACTAAGCAGCAATGAGCATGGAGGTATGTGGTCAGATGTAAGGGATATTAAAATTGAGACTATCGAGTGACTGACAGTCGGGGGTAGGGAAGAGGACACAATCAAGGATGACTTTCAAGTTGCTAGTGTGGGCAGCTGGTTAAGTAAAGGATTATGAAGGTTCAGTCTGGGCAAGGGATAACGTAAAGCCAATAAGAGGTAAAAGGAGTGGATAGCCAGCATCTGCTGATGCTTGTAGGGCTGCTAGTTTTCTATTTATTACATTTTCTCTAGAGAAAAAAAATCAGACTTTTAAAAGTCATTTTAGCTTTCTACTGTGTATTTCGTCTACTGTGTATTTCCAGAAGCAAAAAGGAGGCCTTGGTCAATGTTAAATATATTTATAACATATATGTCAATGAGTACCAAAATGGATTGGACCCATATGTTCAATTCACATTCTAATATATGTCACAATCCATCTGCTTTTAAAGTGTGTGTCAGAATTTCCAGAACAAATGTCAAATATCCTGGAGATGTCTTAGTTCAAATTACCAACCTATGCCATTGGACTTCAGTTACTTGGATATACACTAAATGTAGATACATGTTGGAAATCAGTTCTTGTAGACCTTTAAAAAATTCTTAAATTTCATATTTTAGAAGATAAAATAAGAAAAAAAGATTGTTTTATGGTGTTTCACATGCAAAATGCACAGTTTCTTGAAGGGCTGAGAGCCAAGAAAAATAACAAAGCAGTATATTGCTAGTAGAATACAAACGCCTGGAACACACAGCTAAGTACATCGGGGTGGACCAAAACCCCAAACTGGAAAGACTTTTTACAAGTATCCAGATACTTGCAAAACAGACTACTTCTTAATAATCCATTAAGATATATATATTTATCCAGGATGAGCTATGTAGCTAGGTTTGCTTGGATGAAATAAATTATTGACAAATTTCTGAGCCACATACTTACAGCATTTCTCAAAAATATTTTATAAAACTCACAAAAACTGATATCTAGTTCCATAATAATCATTAATGTGGACCTAGAGTGACTTTACCTTATTTATTTCTCAATCTGGCTCAACTTAGATCTTGGTAGAGTAAATTTCCTATATACTAAGGCATTAAACAAAAATCTGGTAGATAATTAAAAAAGAAAAAGGTAGCATGGAGAGAAAAACACCACTGTTTCTTGAGGACACTACTGCTGTGCAACAAAACTGCCATCAAATTCCATCTCTCTGGATATATAGATTCATCACTGATCTACTATAACTGCCCTTAAATGTGCAAAGGATGGTTTTAACAGCATAGGATAGATTTTTCATTTTTGTAACACTATTTATGAATGTAGTTCCCTCAACTATAAAATACTGTATAGGAAAAATATATCGTTTGAAATCTTTTTATTGTAATTGATAAATTAAACATCTCGGCGATAATATCATTATATTAGAAGAATTACTTACTCGAGAAGATCTGGGTCTAGTCCTTCTGATATCATTTTGTTTCTTATTGCCATCACTGGGACACCCTAAGCAAAGGACACAATATAATAATTCAATGATTAAAAATGCTTTCTCCATAAAAACAGAAAAATAGACCAATGGATCAGAACTGAGAGCCTAGAAATAAAGCCCAAGCATCCATAGTCAACTAATATTTGACAAAGGAGCTAAGATTACTCAATAGAGAAAAGACATTTTCTTCAATAAATGGGGCTGGGAAAATGGAGTATAAAAGAATGAAACTCAATATGAAGAGTTTTCACAGTTATATCTCTCAGAGAAATGCTACAGATCTTGACAAATTAAGTTCAGATCATTGTTAACTATAATCCTCATTTTTTAAAATAAGGAAATATGCCCAACCAGTGTGCGCAGTGGTTGAGCGTCTATCTATGAACCAGGAGGTCTCAGTTTGATTCCCAATCAGGGCACATGCCTGGTGTTGTGGGCTCAATCCCCAGTGTGGGTGCCATGCAGGAGGCAGCCAATGAATGATTATTTCTCATCATTGATATTTCTATTTCTCTCCCTCTCCCTTCCTTTCTAAAATCAATAAAAATATATATGAAAAAATAAATAAGGAAATATATTAAAATTTAAAATATTTACTTTTTTTTTTCATGTAGAGGGCGTAATGTCACAAGAAGGTCGTAGTATCCTGCCACCCGTGAGGAGTAAGCCCAAGTCGCTGTTGGATGTGTTATACACAGAGCCATTCTTCAGGCACTCTGCTCTCTTTACACCTATTAATTATTTACTTTAAAAAAATGTCCAGAAAAGATGCCTTTTACAACCCTCATCTCTTATTCTGGCTATGGAGGAAGAGAAAGTCCACATTCCCTGCAGCCTGCTAGGCTCGAGGAGGATGGGAAAGCAAAACTACGGTTTGATGGTATAAGGGCTTTCTACAAATTCAACTCTGATTTATTTATTACACTTTAGCATAATCCACAGGAAAGCATTAGAAAGGTTATACAAAATTACAAAACTGAGAAAACAGGAGGGAGAATAAATGAGGTTGAAAAAAAATTTCCTAAAATAAGGGAGGAATAGGGAACAAGGAAGTTGATGGAATTAACTAAGCTCCCTATTTTAACTTTAGTTTCATGGGATTGGTTATAGTATAAGAATAATAGTTTTACCCTTAGTTTCTCAAAGCTGACTCCAGCAAAAGAATACAAATATTACATTACCAAAATTTGGTGAGTCTTCAGTAGTTTCTGTATATAAATATCGATAAAAGAAAATACACATAACTTATAATATCTTACCCTATTAGAGACTCTACCACTATCATCAGCTTAATACAAATATCACGAAGCTTGATAGAAAAATAATTTGGTCTGTTGGAGAAGATGTATTCCAAAGGGATTTGCTCCTGTTTCTAGTGACGTTGCTTAGAAAATTTGTTTTGCTGTGTTCATCCTAAGAGGTTATAAGAAACAGTCTGGTTTGTTAAACATCAAAAAGAAGTGTCCAATTTCTGATCTCCAAGAGACAAGGCTACTGGTGGTCTAAGGAGGACACGACAGACCTCAAGACTAAAATTTACTGAACTGTGGGATTATTTTTGGCAAGTGATTATGGCCGTTTGTCCAACATAAGTAATGAAGAAGAGAGAAGGCAGCCATAAGTCTGATGTTCCAAAAATCACGTCTGTATTTGCGTCACTGGAGAAAGTGTGCAAAGAAGCCACAGTAATGAAATTATGAAGGCAACACTAATAGCTAAATTCTAGTTTCTTATATCATAGTAACTGTTTTGAGGTTATAGGACTGCCAATATTTACATTTATTTGTTATTGTGTTAATGAAATCCAAGCTACTAAATTCCTTTATAAACCATGTTGAAATTTTCCTAAAGTTTTAGATTAGAAGGGGGAAAAACCTTCTTAGTCAATCTAATAGTGATGATTTTCCCTTTTTAAACATAACAAAAAAACGCTCCTTACATTTGAGTCTTTCCTCTCAGTTTATGAGCTTGAATCACAACAATTCAGTTCTAAAAGATGGAAAATATGAAGTTTATGAAGGTTTTTCCCTACTTGGTCAACAATAAAGAAAAGATCTGTTGAGTTGATGGGTGGGTAGTACTTTTTTATTTTCAAGGAGAGGGAATGAGTAGGAGTTCAGAAGATGCTATGGGTTAGAAAAAGGCAGGCAGTCCTCCAATCAGGCTCCTTTCACTTAAATTTTAACTTAGTGGAATGGACTCAATCATTTCTTTGCCTTCTGATTTTCAATAATGCTCTCTTTAAAATACCTATACTGCATTTTATGTAATATTTTATTTTTTAAATATGTTTTTATTGATTTTTTTTTTTAGAGGGAGAGGAAGGGAGAGGGATAGAGAGATAGAAACATTGATGAGAGAGAAACACATCGATTGACTGCCTCCTGCATGCCCCCTACTGAGGATCCAGCCCGAAAATCTGGCATGTGCCCTGACTGGGAATTGAATTGGTAACCTCTTGGTTCATGGGTCAATGCTCAACCCATGGACTTATGTAATATTTTAGTAGGGTGTTATATTTAGGATTACATTTTCAGATGAAATATTCTATTTAACAGATAATAAATGTTTACTCAATAAATCATAACACAAAAGCAAGTGTATGCTTAATAATCTTTTCTCCTTCTAGAAGCTGTCTGTGAAGGGATACAAAATTAATTTAAATAAATCTCTTAATCACTGTTGAATGAATATCACTATCTATAAAAAGAAAGCTTTATTTTGAATGACTACAGATTTAGAAAATGACAAACTCTAAAATTATCTCTGATACTGTTGCCTCCAAGGGTCATTAATTTGAACCTAAATCTGTGGGCAAAAAGAAGCTCACTAATCTTGATTGGTTTCTATAGAACTAATAGTAAATCATTCCCTTTTCAGTGATTATTTCAACAGATCAGTTTCATAGGGAGAAAGAATTCTTCACTGGGCATCAGATATTTTTAAAGGTGAAGGAATAAATCATGATAAAATGGATAAAAATTAGACTAGCCCTTACCAGGGCCCTAGGAAGTTGGTAAGACAATTACTGTTACTTTATCCATCCTGTGTCTTTTAGGCATGGGAACTAAGGGTAACCTAAATGCCTATCAAGAAAGCCATTAAAAATTATTTCAAAAAGTTGGGGATGCATTGTTATGCGACTAAAATATAGCTGCATCAATTTCCCCATGTGACTGATTTTTCCCCTGGCTGTTCTTGTAACATGATAAGTATTAGATGTTAAGGATCAAAAAAGCACATGATGTGTTCTTTGCATTTTGTAGTTACTCAAGTTTTTAAAGAATTTCAAAGTAATTAGATGCTATGGAAGACCAGTTTTCCTCTCTTCATTATAATATAAAAGCAACATCTAAAATTGAAAGACTTTCTTTGACAATCTAATTAATGCTATAACTTCATTAGGAATACTTTAGCTACATTATAGCTTTGCTAAGCCTCATTTCACTCAACTCATATTTGTTGTTAAAAATATGTGTTGATTAGAATTTTCTAAATTTAATTCATTTGATTTCTAGGAATAGAAACTTTAAAGAATTTTCATAGCAAATCATTTTGGAATTCGCTATGTGACTTAAAGTGCAATAAGTTCAGATGGTGTCTTACTCAGTTTTTAGAAACTAATTTTATATACACCTATTCAAGAGAATTTAAAGAAATATCTCCAAATACAGCAGTAAAAGATAAGAATGAAATTCTTAATAATTAATTATAAAGATAATTTTACTGATCGAAACCAAAGAATATTCACTTTTGAACTAGTTTTTCAATATGATAATGAGTTTGAACTGGTATATTATGAATCGCTCATTCAATGTCCTTAGAGATCATGAGTATCTATTTAAAGAGAGATAGCCAGAATTAGGCATTCCCTCTGGCTACAGAACCACAATAAAGGCCCTGAATCTGATAAAGTGTCATCAGCACATGGTCTAACCAACTAACTGAATAAAAGTCATTTATGTACTTGAACTAGGAAAAGAAAAAGAAAAGTTGGGATGCTGTATTACAATATTATGAAAATTCCAGTGGGTTGTACTAAGTTCTGGTGATATTTATTTAAATTGCAGTAAATACAAAAGATGTAGATATCTTCAGGTAGAGGAATATATAATTTTCATTCGTTTTTCCCAATAAGATATTTTGAAATCTATTTTATTTCCTTTCAAAACATACAGTAAACATATTTGCATTTTCTCCAAATTGTAAAATAATCCTTACTACAAAATTACCTAACTTACAAATGAAGTTTGTTCTTGCATCTTACATTGCCGTAATCTATTCAAAGCACATTATCTTCCACACCAGTAGTGCACACCTTGTTATGAATGCTCACACTGAGATCCTTGTCCAAACAGGGTGCTAGAATGCCTTCAAGCATATGGTGTCTAAGACACGTCTTTCCTCCTGCAGTGAGTCTACTTCCTTACTACAGCTCATTTGCTCCCTGGTTTTTACTTTTTCTTCCATTAAGTACCACAATCTTAGCCAAACAAATTTATATTTATGGTGAGATTCACCATACTTCTAAAAAGAGTAAATGTAAGTAAGTAACTACTTAATTTACATTACTAATTTGGAAAATTTTATGTGAAGTACCTTATTTCCGGCAGCGGTGGGCACTGAGAAATCAAAGTTGGGTAACTAAAACATTATAGTTGGTCAGAGTAAAAGAATTATACCACACATTTCACAAAGGATAAAATCTGTCATTGTTAGTATATATCTTCAAAAGCTTCCTATGAACCTTAACAGCAATGTTCCTTTTGTCACAACTTCTAACGTAAGAACTAAGAAGTTGTGTAAAGGAGTTGGAATGAAAGATCCAAGTCCAAAGTTAAAAATATTTTTCTGCTAAATGCTCATCTTTGTTGCTTCCCATTTTTATATATCATTTAAAGGAAATCCCTATGAATTTTAAAACTACATTAAACTTATCCTCTAAAAGTTCTTTCCTCTGTGTTTACTTGCTTATATTCCTTCTTTTCTTTCTTTTGTGAGGAGAGATGTACAG